CTGCTAGCTCGCGGCGAAGCCCGTGATGCAGCTTGCCTAACATGGACCGCCTCCGAAGAGCTCCCTGTATGTCTCAGTGAGCGCATTTTCCAAACTTACGTTCGCCCATCAGCATCCCTTGGGGCTGGCGAGATGCGGCCATCACTGTTTCGGTGATAAACGATCGTCATCGAGGGGATGCCCCCCGTCCATGTCGATTTTGTGCACATGAACGTGATTCTTTGCATCACGCACTACTTGAATGTAATGCCCATCGCATTTTGCGTGAAAGGTGGCAAGCCCGCACAGCACATCAATCATTGGACCTGCACGTTCTGTTCTGCACCAACCCTGGCATGAACACAGCCCGTCAAATTGTTCAGAACATTCGCTTTGTGGGCGCAATTTGTCAAGCAGCTGATGCGTGTGAAATGTGATGAGTTTTCTCTTGAGTGCTGGAATAGGGCTTGTACATACATTGGTGTGCATGTTTCACAATTCTGACCATGACCCATCGTCGTTCAAGGACATTCCTCTCTGGTCCATTTTGTGGTGCAACGACCCAACCAACCTACAACAAATGAAATCTCTGGTCGACTGTTCCTTGCAATCCACAACCCAGCTCCCCCATACGAACCGCATGTCAACGCAAATTGACCTGATTCAGACATGTTGGGGACATCACTTGCTGCAATCTTCACTGCTGGTGTGTCATAACGCGGTAGGCGGTATGCATTGATCTCATCAAGGTACTTGCGCGTAAAATTGTCGATGTATGCATTTTTTTTGACAACGAACGTGGCAACATCTGCATGGTCACGCAAAAGAATTTCTTCAGACCCTACAAAACGGCTGACTGGTTGTAGTGGAGTGCAGCAGCGCACGTTGAGATTAGTGCTTTGGGTGGATTCGAATTGGGCAACTGACCCTGACACCAGGCGTTCAACATCAGGTGCTGTTTTGCAACTTGTCGGAGCCCAGGGCACAAATGCCACATTTGCATGGCGGTCATACCGGCAGGGTGCGACTGCATTGTCAGCACCAGATGCCGAAGTGGCTGCCATGGCTGAAGGTCTCAAGCGCCATGGGATCTATGCCCAAGATTTATTTGAGTTCTTGTTGGGTTATCGTTTGCCTCTTGACATCATCACAGATGTCGCCACGGGAATCGCAGGGATTGATGATGCTTATGGTGTTCTCAAGTACATGAAACGAACACAAAGGGTACCGCTGTCATGGTTGCATGATGTCAGTCTTTAACCTGACAACAACATGACCAAAACCAGCACAGACGATAACATTGCAGATGTCATGACGAAAGCGTTGGAGAAGAACAAGTTCCAACACTTTAGACGGCTTTTGGGAGTTCATCCGCATGATTGAGAATTTGTTTGGTTTTTTGATTTTCGCAGCCTGATCGAGATGATTGCCTTGATCGTTTTGCCACATGATTTTCGCAGCAGGAGTGACGCCATGAGTGCTTGCCTTGATTTTCGTCAGCAAGTTTGGCATGTGAGTTTTGATTGTGATTTTGCAAATGGCAGACGTTCTGATGCTTAGTTTTGACCATTGGTTCGCGTTGTAACCCGGTTCGCGATCAAGACACGCTGAAGAACAACACAAAAGGGCGCTAAACGCAATCAAGAAAATCAGAGCCATGCTTCCCCGGCAGGAGGGACCGGGCCCGGATGCGACCATAGTGTGTACAGAAAATTATTGTATGCCATCCACGTCATGTAGCACATAGCAGCACTTGTAAAAACCCTTGAGTGTTGTTTCGCTTGGTTTTCCAGCAACCGGAAACACGAGTCTGTAGGCTCGAATGTTGTTTTCCCATTTTGCCGTGCTCGGCATGGGGGCGTTTGTGTGGGCAAGTACTTTGTCCATAATATATGCCTCACACGACATGATGATGATTGCACTCTGCGAACGCAGTGATTGCTTTCAGACAGTCATTGATTGCATGCAGAAAGATATCCAGAGTCGCCTTGGCAATGCCTTGGCTCAAGTGAACGGGTGAAAAGATCTTGCCCCGCTGAGCATTGAGTGCTTGAGCTGTGACCCACAGCAGCCAGCCTTCGCTGCGTCCTCCTTGAACTCCCGCTTGGCCATGGGAGCAGTGCTGGTGGGCCCGATCCACCTGCATATGAGCTTCCGGCCGATGCCCGCTGGCAGGTCACGCCGCCGAGCAGCCGTTTGCATGCAGGCACGGCGTCTCCTTTCCGCCCGTGTTGCAGTTTATGCGCCATGCACTGGGACTGCGAGAACAGCAGGGAGGAAAAATCCGTTGGCGGACGCGCGCCACACATTTCCGGTGGCGGCAAGCCGTCTCTGCCTGTCCACTGAAGCGGCGGGTTGGCATCGCCGACCAGCTGCCGTGGCAAGTCAATACCGTTGCGGCCCACAGCTGCGGGTAGCGCCCGACCGACCTTGACCAGTGATGCAGGAGCCAAAAAAAATGTTTCAAAAGACACCCGGGGAAAAAACAATGTAAATGTAACTGACATTTGTGTGCCTGTTCCAGGGCGTGCAAGTTTGAGGCAATGTTGACGTAGTCCCTTCCATACGATTGATTGTCGACCACAGGTTGTGTTCATGTCGATGGGCACGTTGGTCATGGGCAACCTGCTGCGGGATTTTGTCACCGACCCGTCCAACAACATGGACGACCGGATGTGGATTTACAATCGCTATGGCACTGCATATTCTGCGATGTATACTCTGTATGAGATAACGTTCGCAGGCGGGCACAAAACAACGATGCAACAAACATGTTGACAAGACGTGGGCATCCCAATGGAGATTTTTTCCAGGGCTTGTGAACCATGATTCGCACTGATGTTTTGGCGCCAAGTCTGCCACCCCGCAAGGGTGCAGAATATTCCTCAGGGTTGCCTCGTAAGATGGAGGTATTTGATCATTGCATTGTTTGTGGTTGTTGTGTGGAAGAGCTGTAAACAAGAATATGTGGTTCATCATCACATTCATTCGATGGGTTGTTGGACCCAGTGCAGGCAATTGGCCGACAAATGCAAGGCCGGTCTTGGAAAAAGTGAGCCAGACATTTGTGACCCCAAGTTGCAAAAAGAAACCTTCGCGCAAAATCAAGTGCGGAAAACGCATGGTATTGCATGATATGGCATAGCTGCATTGCACCCAGCACTAAGGATTTTTTACGTGCTGTACATCACGATCATCGTGTTCGCTGTAATACGGGTGATTAGTGCAACATTTTTGAAGGATACGTTGGATGCAGCACAAAATGACGCGGAGAATTTGGTGGTGGAACGTTTGCGCAAGAAAGCCCAATACGTCCGGAAACTGGAGGAAGTGTTTGCTGCCATTGATCATTCAGGGGATGGTTTGTGCCTTGGCTGGATATGTTACATGTAGCCTGCGAGTTTGCATCATTCGATGGATGGTCACACCCGCCAGGATAACCGAAGAGCGGCTAGCCAACATACTGTCCAACCCGCAAGCCGTAGCATATTTCCAAACACTGGATGTGGATGTCACGGAAAGCGCCGCGTTGTTCCACCTCATTGATAACGGTGACGGTGAGGCCAGCATTTGCTTTACGCAGGGCGCTCTCTTGCAGCACGCCCAACGTTGTAGTCCTGCTGCTGCCGCATGATCAGGTCACTTTGGACGAGTTCATCGAGGGCATCATGCGCTGCAAGGGTCCGGCCAGGGCAATTGACCAGGCAACGGACTTTCGTTGGGATGTTGTCGTGCAGGATGACACACGTAGCTTTTTCAATGTGCGGTTATTGGATTGGTTGATCCGATCCGAGGTTGCCATGCGTGCAATGATCCAGCAAATTGACAGCAAGCTTTCCAAGCTTGCACAGAAGCTGCGTGAATCAGGCACCAAGAGCAATTGGCCACGCAAGGATACATAAGGTGCACTTAGCCCTCGACGGGGTTTGAACAAGGTGTGCGCAATGGACACATGCATTGACTGTTTCGCCAGCACGCGTCAAAATAAATCGCACACAAAGTTGAGCTTCAGCCGGGCGACGGCATTTCGACAACAGTAAAGCACCCTTGCAGGCGCCATCCAACCAAAGCTGACGACAGCTCCCTCAGACGTGGAAAGCCCGGGCGTGTGGTGAAACGCATCACATGTACCCAAGGCTGGTTCCGCGCATGCACTTTGTGAAGCTGTACCCCGCATGGCAAAAAGTTGCCACGGGTGCCAGACATGTATGTTTCCATTCGCGTGTATTCCTGAAGGGAATTGTGCAATAGCCAACCCAATCAGAGGCAATGGCTCATTGTTTCAAATCATTGTTTTGCTAGCGGGTGAAGCGTAGCATTTGCACCATGGTTTGCAACAGCGACAAGGGGGAATCCTCACAGCTAGTGCAACATGTGACGTGTTCACTCGCAAAGCGCGCGTGTCACTTGATTTTTTTTTGACAACAAACACCGGGGGGGCGAATGAGTAAAAGTTGCCCATTTACTCAAGTTTGGTGTTGGTTTTGCATTGGTTTTCGCAAGCTGCTTCGACCAGTCTCATGGCCCTTATAGCAATGGTGTTGGCATCGTTTTCAATGGTGCAGGTTGTGGCTGGCACTGGCACTGTCCGGCCTATACAGCCCCACCTGCATCAAAAGCTTCTGCGGAGTGGAAGCGGACAGGACATGTTGTAGATGGTGCGTTTCGAACAGCCTGGTTGCATTATGGTGGTGGTAAACAAGGCGTGTTTGCTCTAGTCCTGCAGGCGGGCATGATGTAGCCACCCTCGTGGTTAGCCATGTGCTTCACCAGACATGATGACGTGCAGCACAGCTCGGTTGCACCATGGTGGTGGTAAACAGGGGTGCTTGCTCGCTTCCCGCAGGTGGGCCCATGGGGCACGATGGCATATGTAGCCAATCAGCTATGAGGAAATGCAGTACAACATGTGTTGGCGCCAGAGCAGCGTAATGGTGTCGGCGCAGTTTGCTGTTGCTTCAACGCGTGAACGTCACCGCCACACATCGCCCGCGAGAGCGTGTAGATGGTGCGTGTTTCTTGTGTGACGTATGTGTACATGTTTGTGGCAAGGGCCAGGTTTCCAGCGATTGCAAAGCCATGGCAGCGATATCGTTGCCCTTCGTGGATGGAGGCCGCTATGTTCGCCGTGTGCATCATGACAACCATTCCACACGTACACCAAGAATGGTGACGCGATAGACGCCAACCCAACGACCTGATAGAATGCAACACACAACTCCATCATCCAAGCATAAAAACAGGCAGGTGACGACGTTTTTTCCGTTGTAAAACGTGCAGAAACAGCACAGCGACGAAACGGATATACCTCAGGCTGGACCACGCCACGAGCTGACATCTGGTCACGACCTCAGTCCTTTATGCAGGCGCGAGGACGGTTACCAATTGCAGCTTGCTACAGCAGAGGAAGTGTTACATTGACAGAGGCGGCAATACCGACGCCAGCTATCGGCCGCACCAGCCCCACAGCACGCGTGACTAAAGTTGATGTAGCAATCTGTTTGTTGCGCAAGCCCTTTACAATTGTGCTTGTCTTGTGTTGAGTTGTGACTCTGCTGTGGCTGAATATCGGGTCGGCCATGTTGGCTGTTTGCGGCAACTTGGAACCAAGTCACACAAGAGCACCAGCTCGGGCCGCTCTGGTGAACATAGCCGACAGCTGGGAACTCAGAGGGCAACGAGTGGTGCTAGACGGTGCAGACTTGTCAAGTGGCAGCGGTTCGTGAAGATGTCAGGGCATGTTTTGGGTAAGTATTGTACATATCGTGGCCCTGCTGCCAGTTCGACGGGATTCGAGTTTTGTGTCAGTACATACCGCAAGCATACCATACGCGCGCGACGAGCACGTACTCCAGTTTAGAATGCCGGTTCATCTTGCAGCCGATGGGGAAGAGCTTGACATTTTTCTGACTTGCTTTACCTTGCACGCATCATCATGCAGGAAGATGCGACGGTCGCCGCACTTGGAGGCAACCACGCTCAAAGACTCAGGTGTTTCGGTTTCCGCCCATGATCATGCAGGCTTGTGTTGATGTGGATTCCACCAATTCCTTGAAGAAGGTTTCATGCATGGTTTTTGAGTGGCGGCAACTATTGGCATTTAGACGATCACAACCTGCAAGCCCGCTCACCAAATCTTTGCCCGCCAGGCCCCGATTGGTAAGGAGGTGTGGCTTTCCCCATCAAATTTTCGAAAGACGCGAAAGCCATGTCGCACGCTCGGCATACGTCTCGCGGAGGAAGGGCAAACGTGAAGCCAGCATCGTGCCTGCAGCTGTCGGGACATGTATACCCGCGGGATGTAACCACCACCTTTCCACATGGGAATAAGAACACTTGGGCTGAAAGTTGGCCTGAAACTTGCTTCCATGAAAGCGGCCACCTGCGAGTTAGATCCACCCGAAGCAGAATCATTGCGGAATGTGTACGGATGTGATGAATCATGAGGAGAGCGCGGGCCGTGCAAGATATGTACTTGACACTGTTGGTCAACCAGAGTAATGTGGCAGTGCCATGTCACGGAGGCTGACGGATGGAAACAGCCACCTTCTTCGCACATGCACCAGCCGAGTGCAGAGGCGTCGCAAAGGCATCCAGTGCCACTTCTCCCCGTGGTTTTCTGTTTGGTTCATGATAGCTGGGGAAGGCATTCGTAGCATGCAGGCATCGGCGCCCCCACGTGTTGCATGTGGAGCTCGGCAAGTTGTTCTTGAATGCAGCAGAGCTTGGGATGGAGCTGGCCTGGTGCATCGGGCGCATCAGGGTACAGGTCAGGTAAGAGGCGGCTACTGCATGTTGGGCCGAAAGTCCAAGCAGCTTGATTTTTGATTGTTACGAGTATTTATCATGCAGTGGGCATGGTCCACTTGCAGAGGGTGCGCCTTGCTTGTGCTATCTTGCTTATGCTTGTGGCTTGGGTGGCAAGAGCCGAAGGGCTGCAGAACCATATTCCAGGTACGAGTCTGCGAGGTACTTTGTCTCTTTACATCCGAGCTCAGCTTGCGCCTCAGCACCCGATGTGCCTGCAGCGAGCCATGTGGTGCGGGTGTGTTGTGAGCATTTGGCTTCGCGGGCGAACAAGCGCACTGTTGACTGCAGCAGTTTGGACACGGGATGGGTGGCACCTGGGTGCATGGCGGCATGGCAACCAGATCTTGCAGTTAGACAATGCGCAATGGAGGTGCCTCTTCCTGTGGTGCAGTGGCCCCAAGAAGCGCTGCGCCCTTGAACGAATTTTTTTGGCGGCGGTAAGCATATGCTGAGTTTAACGCACGGGGTCACTAGGGCCCTCTCGGGTCTGGAGCCTACAGCAAGAGAGATCCATTGTGGTGTTGGGAGAGATTTGGATATCTGGCACGGGCTGTGAAAACTGCTCCAAGTCACTTCAGCAAACAAGATGCGCATTGATATTTGACAAATGTGCAGGCATGGTCACACTGTATGATCGCAGTTGCGGTGCTTGGTCGGTTGAGGCCGCGACCAAAGCCGCATGCAAACTACATGGCGTCCTCGGCGAAAACCGCTACTGCAATGCCGCCGGCTCCGCAGACAGGGTTGAAAAATGTTGAACAAGGTTGAGGCCATGCACAGCCGTAGTGCCTTTCGAACAGAACGATAAAGCCATGTGTGATTGTACGCTTGGACAACTTTTTTGGTCTTCTTGCAGCAGGTCCAAGGCGCGCATGGGCTAAACATTGCCATGACACACGCGACAATCATGATGAATGGATTTGCCAATATCGCTTTTACTTACGACGGCAGGGTGGAACACTAGAAGCGGGAAAAGGTTTTCAAAATTATCATCACTTTTGCAGGGCAGTACAAAGACAATTTATTTGTCACAACCCGCCGAGTTTCACTGAAGGTCTGGCATCTACGACCGGCAGGAATCTGTCGAGATCCAGGAAAAGCTGGAAATGCAGGTGGACACTCAGCTGCAATTTGGCAATTAGCCAAGATCTGGTGATTTTGGAGGGGATTGAGCCAGGCACCTGCGTGAGCACGGGTAGGCACACCCATATGTTTTGTTTTTGTTCAGACGCATCGCGCTTTTTGTGTCATTTGCAGCCTGGCTTGGAGAACTGCATCTCCATAGGTAAAGCTCGCGTCAGAAAGGGGTTCCTAGAGGGCGGTAGGCTTTGCTCACCTGTTCTAAGCAAGTTCTGCGGGATTGCAGCTGAGAATAGCTTTCCAACTACAAGAGGGCAGCCAATGCCACCTGCATCAGGATGGATTGGATTCTCACTTCGTGCTGTTCTTGTGGCACCTTGGTGGCAAATAGTGCCAACATATGGTCACGCGCTTGCTGGCCCTCCACACCCATGGTCTACCCTCCCCTGTGGGTGGCTGTGGTTGGGGACCCTCACTTCCTGCTGTGGGGTGTGGTTGGGGTGGCCCCGGGTCTGGTTTCGGTTGGGTGGGATGAAGAGACATGACTTGAGGTCTTCCCATTCCTCCTGTGGGCGTGGGGGTGTGGGTGTGGGTGTGGGTGGGTGGGGGGGTCTCACAAATCGAGAAATTACGTAGGCCTTGTAAGTTTATATGGCATGGGCATGAGAGAAGATATTGACATCGATTAAATAGGGTCGCCTATAGATGTGTAGATATAGAGACGTAGAGATATAGAGATGGATTATCAGGTCTATGCAGCCTATGCAGTGTTTCTGAGATCTTCAGAGGGTCTTAGAAGGACACAACATAAGCTATTCCTGGTGGAATATTAGAAGGGTTGAAATACCCAAGTCTACCACAGTCCAAAGGATCGTGCCCCAAACTGGCGCATCCCTATAAGAGTCGGCATGTTTGGAATCTTGTGCACAGAGTCAGACTCCCAAGTGATGACAGTCACGAAGATGGTGCCTTCCAGACACCCAACCTTTGTCACTGTTGGCACTTTTCAGATTGCGAAGGGGCAATGGGCGGGGGTGCCCTGGAACGCCAGACGCCCAACCACATATCGCCATATGTCCCTGCATCGCCCCTTACTCGAGGTTTGGAGATGCTTTCCTTTCGAGCATCCCTTTGCTGAATGCAAACCGGTCCAATCCAATCAGCTTCCTTAGTTATAGGCGTGGTCCTTACATTTACGACTCATGGTGTTTGGGCACAGGTGCCAGCGGAGATCCTTACTAGGGGAGTCGACAGCCCTGCACTTGGCATTTCAACACACCATAGGTGTGAGCTCTAGAACTTTTCAGCCGAGTTCTCAATTGCTTGAGGGAGCTTGCAAAAAATGCTGCTGCAAGCATACGCGGCATGCTGGACCCCAGTGACGTTGCCGCCTGGAGCGGCCTGGAGTAAGGTGCTGTTGGGCTATCGGCCCATTCCTTTGCGAGATTCGAGCCTTTACTCCCGTACCCTGGCTGAAGAAAGCGGCTGCCAGCATTTCAGGACTGTGTCACCTTTCGTGCCCGCCGTGGCAGCCGCAAATTCAGATACTGATAAAGGATCGTGCAGGGCTGTAGCTGCAGAAAGCTCTGATGTCTCTGAACCAGCCCCAGGTTGGGCTGCATGGGACATCTCCGACTTGGAGGTATGACGGGTAGAAGGGCCAAGAAGAGGGAATCGTCACATATAAGGCTCTGAGATAAGACTCATGAAATGGTTGCGCAGCTGGTGGACGTTGAAGACGCCTAGATTTCAATCCATGCTCCTCCTTGGGTCCTATGCTGCGTTCCCCGAGCCAGGCAGCCCAGGAACTTGCCACCATCAGCCTCTGTCTCCGCGTCACTGCGCCGCCGGAGCACCCAGAACTATTAAGAGCTGTGGGCTCCGCACAGTCTGGCGCAGTTTCAAGAGGATTCATTGCAGCGGCGATTATGCAAGAAGCACGTGCATCAGGCCAGCGCAGATTCGCTTAGCACACCTCTCCGACGTCAGAGAAACTGGGCTCGGGGACCAAGTGGGTCGACCATGTTGATGCGCAGCCTGCTTGGGGGTTTTGCCGTTTGCATCACGCGGTCCCCATACACACCTTGTCACAGGCTGGAGGACACAGCTAGGCTGAATCACCTCAGAAAGCCTGGGGCGTCGATCATTGCAAAGAGGCCGTATATTTTTAAGCCACGGTTTCCTGCGAAGCTGAGATTCACACTGAACTGGAGCGGGAGCCCTAGCAGCCGTGTCCTTCACTTCGTACAAGTGCTGCAAGTTTCGGGGAATGCCCGTCTTCTCCTTTACACCTACAAGGCTGTGGGTGCATGCGTCATTCAATTGCGGTTCTGTTACCTCAGGCGAACCACTTGGCTCCCCGGCTACGGCGTACGCTGCTCGAGCCTTGCTACTCGTGCATGTGGCCAGAAGCAAGGATTGTAGGTGTTCTCAAGCTATGCAACTGAGGTGTCCATACACGCGCCGGGGGCAGCAGTGGTCTGGCAACCTGGGGGAAAACAGCATGCCATACGGCACAAGTCTATGCGACAGGGAATGATAGTTGAAGGTCTGCAGGAACCAGAGTGCTGAGGCCCTATGGCGGAAGATGACATCAGATCATGAGGTTTCACTCGGTGGATTACTGCTGCCGTCTCAGATGAGTATTTGGTCATGGACCAGTCAGTTTGAAGCCTTATTCATGCATCTTCATGCTTTGGTGTTGGTAGTGGCTCTGTAAATTTGTGATCTGCTGAGGCCAGGGAAAACATACATGGTGGACATCACAGGGCTGAACCAGGCCAACGCGGTATGCCCGGATTGGGGTTCAGGGCGGACGCCAGGTATCACCAGGGCCTCATGGTAAAGCACCACCACCTATCAGCTCATTCCGCACAGACGTTTACCAGCTCGCCACCATTGTATGGGAAGAAGGTTACAGACCAGTTACGGAGGTGCAAGCTGGTGTTGAGCATGCACCTCTCCGTTTCTACAATTTGCACCAGCCATGGCAGCAATGCAGTTTGAAAAAAGCTTCGTCAACACCAAGCCCGCAGGCTGGATGGGGCGATGGCCTCACGCTGGAAGCATCCACACGCGCGACATGCGGGGCTCTTGTGAAATACAGGGCAACCTAATTGTAAACTATTTTCAGTTCATGTTCGACTTTAACTGGGTACGGTCGCAACCATCCACGGTGTCCTTGCAGATTTGCAAAATTGAGAAGTTTGTCTGTTGCCACAGTTCATGTAGCTTGGAGGGCCGGTTAGAACCGAGTCAGCTTGGTTTCTGCTTACACATGCCGCGGCGAAGGCAGGTTAGGCCTTCAGAGCAGCGGTTCAAGGGTAAAAGGGCCGATTATTATGACTTCCGTTGCCAAAAGGTTTCACAAATCCCATGTTTCCAGGACGTCTGCTTGCTTGCATGTGCCAGCTGTTACATGCGGAAGCGGGTAATCGTTATGACTTCTGCTGTTGAGTCGGAACGGGCGGTTCCTTGCAGGAGTGCTAGCAAAACTGCTCTTATCATGACTTCGGTGTTCGCCTGTAAAACCACATCACCTGCTGAAACATCAGTGCATCAATGTCAAATCTCATGTCACTGTCACAAGAATTTCATACAGCTCATGAGGCTTGGACCTGGATGCGGAAACGGAGGAGGAAAGGGAGTCTGACGAACTTGTCGGGCTCTTGGAAGCTCAAGTTCTCCAGTTGAGATCACTAGCAGCGCCAAGCATATGCCATGACAGTCTTGCATATTACAGGCCTCAACACCAGAGCAAGCAGACAAGCAAGTTGTGCTCAACATGTACGGACTCCTTTGTTGCGCAGCCATTTTTCGCGGGCCTTGTCACGGTATTTCTCTTGGACAGCCGTAAGCCATGAGGAGCACCTTGGTTGCGTTACTATGTGGTGCAGCAACTGCCTCGAACCACACACTTCGAGCTGGCACCGCCGCAGCTGCTCCCATTGTCATACAGGGCAACATGCTCTTCAATGCGGGCACGGGCGAGCGCTTCTTTGCCAAGGGGATTGCGTACAATCCCCGAAATGGTAATGTCGGGCAGGTGCTTGGAGAAAAGAAGCCAGAGTGCAAGGCGGGCACCCCCAAGTTCCCGCCTCTGGCTTACTATGGCGACCCTTCAGCCGACGAAATGGCAGACCAGTTCACAGAGTACTTGCCCTTGATCAAGAATCTGGGAGCCAACACCATCCGCCTCTACAACATAGACCCCGAGAAGTCACACAGGAAGTTTATGGAGAAGGCTGCGTCTCTGGGGATCTATGTGCTGGTCCCGCTGACAAGAGGTGACTGGGGCTTTTTGCCGGCCCTGCCCAGCCCGCAGTGCTACCACGCCGACCTGCCCGGTTGCATAGCTGCAGTCTAGACGCATATAAGGGTTCAGCTCAAGCAGCAAGTCATGGATGAAGACATGAGAGAAAGCTCGTCAAGTCGCAATTGTTTTGCATCCAAAGCTGCCGCTAGAAGTGCGATCTGCTGAATCCAGCTTGGCGCTGCAGATTACGGCCACGTTGGTTTGAATTTGTTGACCTCGGCCAAGCTCATCGTGGACCAGTTCAGCCAGTATGAACCTTGATCGGAAATTCCCTTGAGATCAAGCCTTTGACCTGAGCCTTACAACTGCTCATGTCCCAAATCAATTCTCTTTGGCATGCAAGGCGAACACCTTGATGTTCGTTGTTGGTAACGAGATCGAGCTTTTGGACAAGGATTCCAATTGGCAGCCTCTAACCCTGGAAGTTTAACTGAGCAAGCCATCAAGCTAATTGGGCCTGGCGCCAGGTGCCGGCCTGGCCGCTGCCCCACTTGCCCACCCAGCTATCAAGTGAAAGCCAAGCCCACCCCAGCCCTGCTGACACTGCTGATTGAGAGAAGTGCACGAAAAAGATATATCCTTGTCACCTCGTTTTCTTTTCGGTTTTGAAGACCCTGTTCTCTCTACGTTAACTGAAAGAGGGAAAAGTGGAGTCCCAATTGAGCTGATGATGTTCCTGTACGAGGCGCGCGCGCGCGCTCGCCTCGTACAGGAACATCAGCTGCACATGGGCTTGATTGGGACCAGGAGGGGTCAAAAACCCAAGGAAAGCCATCAAAGATGATATGGTTCTTTTTGCAGGCTGACCATGTTCTAGCCCACAATGGCATTTCTGTGGTATTTTCATCCACAAACATTGCCCACAGCGTGTATTTTGAGCGTTTTGTTGGGGTTTATAGCGCATTTTAAGTGCCCTGCAGCCCCCCAAGAGCCAGCATCATGAGCATCACGGTGTCTGTTTGGGTCCCCCAAAGAATGCCCAAAACCCTCCGTAGCGTGAGGGGAAGCCTCAAAAACGCAGCCAAAAATCATCTTAATTCTCGACCCCAAAAAACACACCTCCAGGGCCTCCAAGGGAGGGGTTCGGCGGTGGCTAGGCGCGCATCCGCACTGGACTATGACGACCAGGCCGGACTTAACAGCCTCCGGCTCAGTCCGCCGACCCAGGCGGAGAAATTGCGAAAGCTAAACCCTAAACCTTGAGGGTTTTCAGCGGCTGGCACGAGACCAATAGGCGCAATTACATCAGTCCAAGCTAGGCGGCCGGGACTCAGCAGCTTTGCTGTTTTCAGTTGCCGCGGAAATCAATCGGCACAACAAGCCAGGTTGCAGGGACTGTGCAGGACCAACACTGCATTGTTGTTGCAGAAGTGTCCAATCCTTGCTGAGAGCCTGGCGTGGGCGGGCCATGATCATTGGGACCCGGCCCCAGGGTTTTGAGGCCCGGGCGCCAATTATGCGCGGAGAAGTCGCGACAGCTAAAACTAAGACCCTAAACCTTCATGTTTCGACTCAACAAGATTAGTTCAAACTAGGCTGCCGGGACTGCGCGCAGGAAATGAATCGTTGCAACAAGCCTGGTTGCCGGGACCGTGTCAGAACCAACACTGCATTCCATTTGTCCAGTTGGGGTGGCCCCTGATGAGCATGCTCGCAGCCCCCAGCCTGACACCCAGACCATCCCAGATCCCAGACCTTTGGACCTCTGCTATGCTGCCACGAAATTCACAACAAGTAGGTGCCAGCTTTGGCACCCGGGCGCAGAGGCTTGGGGCCAGGTTTCAGGGGCTTGGGGCCCGGGCCTCCACAACCTCAATTTTCGCTGCGGGGAAGCGCAGGGGGTTTAGCGCTAAGGGAGAAAAGAAGAGGGCCTCTCCGTCTCCTGAAACCATCCAACATGCCCCCCAAGGTCGGCAGATTAAGCAAGCAAATGGCAGACAACATTTGGAGTATTCTAAGGTAAAGATTACTTTGCGTGGAGCCTGTTTCCAAAAAGATCATGCGCATGTGCAGGAGGGTATGGCGGCCTACCCTTGCGTGCCTTGCAGCAATTTCTGAGCCATCTTGTTCCAGTTGGTCATGACACCGTTATGAGAGCCTTGTTGTCCGTGTACGCAAGCAGAAGCGCAGAGGTGAAGGCGCTCACTCGCGACATCAAGCGCTACCAGAAAGAGAAAGGCTACAGGAAGCACGATTCAGCTTCACATGTCATGACACGGCTGGCGTTTGTTTTGCATCGAAGTTGCTGCAGTGGCTGTGACCAGAGGACGGTCCCTCTCATCTACTCGGACAAGGATCAGGGAAACAAGGACAGACGGGCCAATGCCAGTAATGCGACAAAAAACATAAGCCCACAGTCTTACGGTCTGCGATGTTGCAAGGACCGCGTGAACATTGCCAACTACTTGACCTGTGCCCTGGAGAGTCCTGATGATGCAGTAGCTCGTCAAAAGAATGCTTGGGGCTTGGGGTATATTCCTTGTAACAGAGTTCATTCATAGTTTTTGTTGGCGGAGGTGTTTGAGTCCCAAGTTTAGAGCAGCTCCCACCACCCCTTTCAACCTGTGCTTTGAAGCCCCCACCTGGCATGTTAAGTCCATAAAAGCTCTTCGCTTGCTCCAGGTGGATGCCTTTGGTCTCAACGCCTACTCATGGTGCGATCCAGCCTACGACAGCGGCTAGACGCAGTGAAGTTCATACCTGGAGGTTTTGCCGTAGTATCCAGGCCTCCAACAACATCAAGCTTTGGCATGTATATCATATCTGATTCCGGCACTTGCACCAATTTCAAGCTATGCCTGGGGCACAAGCCTAGTCAGGTTTTCGGTTCTCACCATACAAGTCGATTGCTGACGATTTCACGTCCTTCTCGAAGCACCTTAGCTTCAAGGTTCAGCCGCCTTCCCACGTTTGGAGATGTGAGATGACACTGCAGATTGTTGGGCATGATCATGCCATGTGGCTCATGAAAGCTGGTGTGTATGAGGCCCTTCATGTTTACGGAGTTCGGCTGCAACATCGGGGCTTGGCAGCGACCGGACTTAAAATTTCGCTGGGCCGGAGTAGCTGCATCATGTTGCTGTACCCACCCCACCACGTCAGCTCTCAGAATCAAGAACCAGAAAACCAACATGCCACCAAGCTGCATCCCAAGTGCATATTTGGAGCTGTTGGCACTTACTGAAGCTCCTCTCCCAGGTGGTCCTGCCCAGCGTACAAAGGTGGCCGTACATGGCCGCAGGCGATCAAATACTAAAACCGGAGGTAATTTGGGCCCAAATGGGTTTGGTTTCTACATCGATACTTAGGGCACAGACTGCAGTTTGAGCCACTTGGACCTCAGGGTTTGCAGCCTGGGGCTTGAGGTTTAGGGTGTGGGCTTAGGGATGCAGAGTTTAGGGCTGATACGCTTAGAACCTTAGGGTTTTGTCTAGAGTCTAGACCTTGCTTGAAAGCGAGGGGGGACTAAAACTCGCTACCACTGCAGCATCTGGGCAGCGTTTGGGCATGCGTGACGGTTCGAGCCAGGTTGGTGTCATGATGGATGAGATGAGCGACCTCGTTAGTGGAGCTGTGGCGTTTGAGCGGCCAGGCAGAATTCATTTCAGCTGACTATTTTGAGGGCTGAAGTACCTGCAATATGCCTTGCCTCAGCTCTTGCTTGTATCGGTCAGTCCGCATTGCGGGTGTCAAGACACGAGTCTCGCAGAAGAAGTGTTCCTGCAATGGTTGAGGTAGCTTGGCCCCGACGGGCCATAACCACATGAAAGCAGATCTAGGTGAAGTGGCTCATACACCCATTTGCTTCTATGATGCATTTCTACCGAAGCCTGTTTGCCAGCTCTAGGTTCTCCATGGAGAACAATGAGTTCGGGCTGGTCCTGACGCCAGGATTCCTGCAAGGTCAGAATGAGATCAGGTTCACCGACAGCTACTATGCTCTGCAGAAGGCATCCCGGATTTCAACGCATTTGGCTTTTGTGTGTACTTGCACTGTAGCACGTGCATTGCTTCAAAGCGTGTCCCTACAGCCTTCAGGAGTTCAAGGGACACACCGCCAAAGGATTCGCGCAGCCAACGCGATCAGCTTCTCAGGCTGCACTGATGAATACCTGGGCCAAGCACAAAGTCAAGAAAATCCAAGGCGCCATCCCAATGCATCTCCAAGGAGATGGCCAACGAGATGCAGCAGCGCCACCATGCACCCAGCAAGCAAGTTTGGTGCCATCACACCATGCTCCAGTAGGATTTGAGAAACTTCTGCTACAAATGCACACCCCTGGCTTCCATCTTCGACTGTCTCAATCCTGGACCTGATTTGGCGGCGTCAGCCACTGTTAAGTTAGCGATGCTGCAACAACAGGCAGTCAACCTGTGCCGCCGAACATCTCTTTTCGCTTTGCACAGGTGAGCCAGATCTCGGACTGGTCAAGACTTCCGTCGACCCCGGTAATGCCGGAGACAGTCTTGCCATGAGGTAGCATGTAGACATGTAATTCAATGCTCGCATGTTTCCACTTTCAGGATTTGAGGCCTTTGCTAGGCCGCTAGGCCGGGCAGTCTGAAATTACAGGCTGCTGAGGCACCCACCCGCAGGCTCACAAGAAGCCCAGTGCTCGCAGGCTTACAGGGCACAGGCAGAACTAGTTCGGGTGCGAAGTCTGCAAGCGATACCAGTCACGCATATATCATATCCCAGATTTGATTCCTGCACCAGTTTTGCCCATGCGAGCACCTAATACACACTGCTTTAGGGGAGTTTTTCTTATCCCTACTTTTGCGCTATGAATTCATGGCCAGAAGCCGCCGTAAACCGGATTACGCACTACAGGAATCCGGCAGGCGGACCCATCGCAGCTTCTTGATACAGAAGTGGTGAAATGATGCTGCGGCTGGTGTGTGTTCCTGATTCTATCTTACAAGCCGACATTGCATACTCTGTCCCGGCGGTTTGAGGGTGGATACGCAGCTGTAGTCGACAGCGTTATCTGAGGTTCCCCAGGCAAATCGACATGGAGTCACCCACCTGTGACGAAGGACTCCGTCTGCCGACGCTATTTATCAGCTTGGCCTTTTGTAAGTGCTTGTAGCGGCTAAAGTCAGCATAAGATAGGTCGCAGTTGGTCCTGGCCAATACTGGAAGAAGCTTGACATAGTTGTGGCAATGTCCTAGCAGTTCTCCTGTATAATGGCTTGCTTCGGTGCGCTGCTATACGTCTATGTGTCGCTTCCAGATGTCGTGTTTTCATCCAACTTCAGGACCCACACTTTGTCATGAGAGTTGCAGCAAAGAAACTGCAACCGGCACTGCTGTATTTCCATTTTCACGGGATGTCCTGTAGGCCTTTGCTTCGTACCGTTGCTTATTGGTGTGCATCTTCGCTAAATTACTTTGGAGTCGGTTACCGCACTGCTTGCAACGGCCATTGACGCAAAGGGGACCAAAATGAGTTGCAGGCGCACGCATATGGAGAACTTGGTTGTTGTGTTTGTGTTTGCGCTAGGTTGTCAGAAAATGACAGCAGCTCATGACAAGTGATTGCATGCTGGCCTTGCAGATCGAAAGCCTCTCACACATTTTAGAGGAGGTTTGGCATCCGCACTTGTTGCGAATGGCATGTGAGTTGAGTCAGCATGAGATTTCAATTTGGAATCTGGAAAGTATGTTTCCCTAGCAGCAGGCAGTCGAGTTGCTGCAGACAGATAAAGCTCAAACGAGGCATAACAAATGCAGAATAAATTTGGAGCCATGACCTTCACGCCTGCCGGCGTCCGAAGTCAAAGCCGAGAGGCAGGGTGCTACAGGGACCTGAGCTGTTTGCGCACTGTTAAAAAGGTTTCCTGCCTAATCGCCAGGCATGCTTTGAAGGTATTCAATGAATGCCCAGTGTGCTGTGACCGGATGAATGGCAGTATATCTTGTGGACGCCATTGGAAAAACGCTTCTGCCTCATGTGTTGCAATGCATCGCAGGTCCCAAAGCAGACATGACGGAAGAGGCTCGAGCATCTTGCAAACTGCCACCGGACTGGCTGCAACACCACGCCGTCTTTCGCCTTGGTTGATGCTTGAGTGGCATGTAGTAGGAGCCAGCCATGAGCAACCACTTCGCTTCGCTGCATGACCTTGTCCGTCATGTCCGTTTATGCTTGGCTGCTTTTGCCCCCACGCAGGCAGCCCAGCATGTGGACGCTATGTTCAAGCCTTGGGGGTGTCTTGCTGTAATGATCAAGTCAGTAATTCTCGCACCAGTCGACTACGAGCCCACAAAGCAATTCAAGTAAAGGCTCGCAGTGCCGCTCACGCGTCGCATGGCCGTGCCTGCCCCAGTTAACCTATCGCGATCTTCCAGCTTCCGCCAGTATCGAATGCTTCGGATAGTCAAGCTTGTGGATCTATCTATCTTTCTGTGATTTTCTATGTTCTTTCTTTTTCCCCACACACTCAACCAGCTCTATGTACATCTGTATTATTACATTTGCATATAAGTGCACAACTCTGTCATTGCGCATGTAGTTGTGAAAAGGAAGGATTGCTTGCCACATCCATAGAGTAGTCAAGCTAAGCCGCCTTCACGCTCATGGACTGTTCTCAAAGGTTTTGAGAAGGTCCCGCATTTGTTGGCACAAGTTGGCATGCAGTCATGTTATGATGGGTGGCAGGTTCCTGGGAAGCACATTGTCTGCGGCACCCGTGCGAACCACACAGCCTGTCAGGCTGCGTTCAGATTCGAAACGCGATGCGTGTACGGGTATCAGTTACTTCTCCAAAAGTTCCCAGAACTGTACGCTGTAGCATGTCATGACTGGATGTGGCGCCTAGGGCAAATTGGCATCAGTCGTGTAGGACACATGTGATGCACGATGATTATTGGTGGGAATTGGGTTGACCTAGCAGTTGATGAAGTTTTGATTCCTAGACTTTTTTAGGGTGTTCACTCCTCAGCCCTGCAGATTTAGACCAGGAGTTTTCCTTTCAGACCGAATTGAGCCACCATAGCAAGCCACCGACATCACGCTATCATGGGTTGAGGTGCTTTGCTGACTCGGAGTCCTCACACATGCAGTGATCATGTCAGCCTCGCAGCAAATCTGCTGGCTGGGTGCTGCTACGGTGTCAACATCGTGCAAGTCGGCATCGCGAAAAGCCATGATGCTCACAGACGCGGGGACTTCAGCAAAGAAGTAGAAAGCACAAGCTCAGCTGCACAAATTTGCATGCACCTGCTAGACCCTACTGACAGCACTGACAATCACTGACAGGAAGTAGGCCGGACAACCTCAGGTTTTTCCCTTCAAGATACATTGCATTCACTGTCCAGGCACCAATTTGTCCTGTCAGCTGATGATCTACATGATCCACTTCTAGACCCTAAGGTCTTTTTGTCTGATGCACACCAATGCTTTGATGCTGCACGGCTGCACAGCCACATATGGAGCAAGAATGACCCAGCAATGGCATGGGACTGAAGGGGCAGCTGACGAAGCTCTGAGAGCCTTGGACTGCACGGCTTAGGAACCAGAGCCAACATTCAATGCCACCTCACTGCCGTACTGGCCTCGAGCATATGAAGGTTTGAAAAACTTCAAGCTTCAAGCCTGGACCGGGCCCAAAAACATTGGTAAGATCCAAACCTTGCAATGCTTGAATCCAAGCCGCCGCAGTGCACAGTAGGATTCAGGACATGAAGGAGTTGTATCATTGGCCACGATTTGCGACCGGCCTTGGGACATGAATCATTTTCTTTCACGGGCTTCTCGTGCACGGCAAACTATGACAGTCATAGACATGTAGATTGGACGTTGAGAGGCACCGTCTTCGCCGAGACCGAAGTGCTCCTCGCAGAGCTAGCCAAACTTTGGCGGCGTCCAGAGGTCTCCCCAGAGGCTGCCGTCAAGACTCCACTTCTCAGTCTCTCATGTCCAATTCACACGATGCTCCTGCCTGAGCCAAACTTTTACGCACTTCTCCAACTTCTCAGGAGGCAGCCACGCGCGCCAATGGGGTGCGGACAAAGCTAGGCGGCACGGTGCTGTGGGATTCGGGGCTTGCAAAGCAGCAGACGCTGCCAGAATGTGGACTGGTCGTAGAAGGGCTACAGATACGTCCTTGAGGGTTGGCTGTCATGGGTCAGGCTGCAGGCTTTCCGTAGTCTCCCATCCGACGCCTCCGAGATGGTAAGGAAGAAGAGTTTTCGTTTTGGGTTCTCAGAGATTTCAGAAATACGTTTGAACGATCTGACTCCATGGCCACATACGGCCACTGATTGATTTGTTGTTTTGTTTGGATGCTGACCGGGTGATTCATGTGACTACTGTAAAACGCCATTATGAAATTCGCTCATTTCAATTCACGGATGTATTGTTCCCAGAGTTCCATTCCTAAAGCTGGGCAGTTCTTGCAGGTCCCATCCTGGAAAGCGAGCGCAACTGGATCCAGAAAAACCGCGACAAGCTTGGCAAGGCCAGGCGTAATACGCATGCAAAGAACATAAGTCTTGTCAAGGGCACCGCATGCAGCTCCAATGCGCTGCTGGCGCGAAGAAGCAACCCTTTTTCATATATAAAATCTAAAGCCGAGTACATCTTGGCAGTGGCTGGTTCCTGGTCCGCTTTCCTCAAACTTTTCAGGGAGCGTTTGAGTTCGCCCAGGCCCTGGAAGAGGCATCCAAGCTCGCCGCGGAGGTTGGCGAGGTTCCCCCAGTGAAGCAGGACGCTTTCTTGCATGGGCTGTTGAGGCAGCGCGCCGGAAATTCATGGAAATTTGGCGAAACTGATAGCACGACCTTGATTTGCACAATGTTTTTCCTCCCGCCGCAGTAATCTTGCATGGGCTGTTGAGGCAACGCGCCGGAAATTCATGGAAATTTGGCGAAACTGATAGCACGACCTTGATTTGCACAAAAGGTTTTTCCTCCCGCCGCGGTAATGTTCGCACATGTGACATGTCCAATGCTGACGACTATGTCCCAAACAAAGTAAAAACAGGGACCCAAGACCTTGAGACATGTATGTATGCTGCTTGTAGGCATCCATCTCGCAGACTCCCAGTAGTGACGTGTCCGACGGTCGAAATTTCGGATTTGAGCCCGGTGTCTAATCATATAGAGGTTGTGAAGGGGGTCGGGCGGCACTTCTCACTTATGACCTCCATTTCGTATCATTTCGTTATTGCTTCAGCTTCGGAATTTGTAGGTCCTAAGTTTCATGTAGAGCCAGCATGGTTTTGCTGAGAAGTTGCCTCAAAGAGCAGCATCACAGAATGTTCACGAAGTTGAGTTGATGTCATTTGCACATTTTCTTTCTTCAGCTGCTTGGAATTGTGCGTCATCAGGCCAAAGGTATGGATCTGAGGAAGAAACGGCAGTTTTGTTCAAGATCAGTCGCGTGGAAGGCTTCAGGTTCAGGGCTAGTTGCCCTCACTTGCACCATCAAGGTAACACTATGGCCAGCTTCTTCCTTGTCTGAAGGCTTTGTAAAACCCCTCGTGGTCCTCCCACTCGTGTGTTGCGAGGAGACATCTACGCTTGTCGAGCAGCGCGCTGGGGTAAAAGCAACAATTGAACGTTACTGTGGCATGATTAGTGCTACCCTGTCATGCAGCCGCTGCAGCCAATGAGGGCAGAATGCCGCGCAGCATACTGCATGCTTTGCACATGGCTCGTTGCGGTCTGTGGCTTCGAAGCCTTGAGCTAAGGTTTGGAGAAGGCCAAGAAAAGGCAAGGTACAGAGATTCAAGCCACTTGGACCCATCACTTTCTGTTTTTTTTCCTGGCTGACTAGTGCTACTTCAAGACTCTTCCTTCATGAGCCGAATGGTCATATCGAGCACTTCTTCCAAGCCCGCCGGCCAACCTTAGTCGCTTCCCGGATCGTAGCATAATTTCCCATCATCTTCATGTGTTTTTGCAACAGAACTATCCACCTACCCTGGTTGTGCTTGACAGGAGCTGCGCGCCAAAGTGGCCAAAGAGTGCAAGCGATTGAACCTGGAAGACTCAGAATTCGTGCTCCAGAGTGCAAGACATGGGGGCTTTGGCTTTGGCTATGCAAATCTGCTGGGAAGGTTGTCTGTAGACGGAGCTTTCTGACTTGCATGTTGGATGTAGATGGACTCCAATTCGCCGGGGATCTGGACCCAAAGCCTATATCCAAGGTCGTAGACGACTCGCTGACTGGAGGTGCAGCTGTGAAGGCCGGTAGTAGGGCGCAGAAAGGGAACACCTGAGATCCTTTGGGGTTAGCGTGCCCAGCTTGCTCAGCAACAAAAAAGCTGTCTGCATCGTATGTTCTTTGTGGTTGTGAGGCCTTGTAGCCCATGCACGGGTCCAGTGTTTTCTTTCCGGGTCGGATTCGGCGACGTCCAAACAAAAAAGTAGCCCTATTGGCGCTCTGAGTCTTGCTATGCATTCAGCAAGGGAAGTGACCGCGTGGAGTTGTAGAGGCAAAGGCGATTCAAAACCAGAAGCTGAGTTGCTTAAAGATCTTAAAGGCAAAGGACCGGGACATAGTTTCACTCCTGGCCCTGCAGCTTGAACCTTGGCTCCTGCAAGACCAGAAGATTTCCACCGGACTGCTAATCTGTGCGAGGCTCTGAAGCATCAGCTCCAACGCTTGGATGATGCCCCTTGAGTCTATGTTGCTGGAAGGTTTTCTCGGAAAGATTGAAAGGGGGCTATCCTGGACTGATGTCTGTGCAGGTTGAGGTCAAGAAGCCTTCTGACCCTAGCTGTGAATGAAGACCGCATGAGCAGGATGTCATAGTGCCAGCACTGAAAAGTTGGGGGAGGGTTTGGCCGCCTTCTTATTACTTAAGATTTTTAAGCACCTCCACAACCGGAGGTCATGCACGAGCGCGTGGATGCTGTTTTGGCTGCTCGAGGCCATTCTGCAAGATGTTAAGGGGTTTGATTCAAGGAAGGAGAAGCATGCTGAGTACATGCAGGTCAAGACTCAGGACAGTAGCTATCCGAACGCGCAGTTGGCACTTAGAGCTCCATGGCACTTAGCATGCGAAGGTCGCATCCGGGACCTGGCGAGCTCACTGGGAGAGGCCAGATCAAATTCAGCTCAGCTGTTGCGAGCCCGGAAATGTGACTAAACAATCTGCGCCACATTATTCTGCGCGATCCGCACTTTCAAACGAGGGTGCCGGTTTGGTCTGGTGCGTGTGATTTGCTTGTCAGCTTAGAGTCTAGCATAGAACTTGTGCAAGATCTCCTCCGGGATTGTTTGTTTTTTACCTTTTTTTCCCCTGCAGCAAGGGCCAGTTTCCGTATGTGACAGACAGGAGGGAACGACGGAAGACTTGATGCGCAGCGGGAGAGGGGAAGAGAGATAGAAAGAAATCAAGACAGCAAGAAGGAAATAACAACAGAGAAAGAAAAAACAAAAAAGACAGTGTGAAAGGACAAGAGAGAGAGAGATAGAGAGAGAGGGCTATGTGTGTGTTTAAGGCTACCCCACCTGTGGCAAACGCACCTCCTGGAGCACCAAGTGTTCAACCACCATGGCCAAAGAGAAGGGATCTGCACGTAGTGGGAGATATCTGGTTGATGAGGTATATCCCCCACAAGCAAACAACCATGGTGACAATACTTTTGTCAGAGTTGCAACAAAGGACCTAAGATGCACATCCGGCGAAATAGTCTACCTTAGCAGTTTTCTGGGTACATATTAACCAACGGTCCGAAGCAACACGTTATCCAAACCAGCTC